TTGATTGCCAGATTGCTTGTTTATTATTGGAGATAGGGAGTTGATTTTAGCGCTGAGAATGTTCTCTGTGAGTGTATTAATTGCCAGATCGACATCGGTTTTTGTTTTTAGTTTAATATTAAGATGGGAGTTCTTCGTCATGAGATTTCGGAATTTTGGCCAGCATATTTGATTTTGGGTGAAATTGTTTATACAAGAAGAAGTTTGGGCGTTTATTTGTAGCATGCCTGGAGTATGGTCTGAGGCCGGGTCATTTAAGTTAGTGATTTTTGTTAAGAAATGATTTGGCAGATTTGTTAGATAGAAATCAAGTATATCTGGATGACGGTTTGCGTGTGTTGGCCAGTATGTAGGCGCATCTGGAGCGAGTGCTTTAGCGTGATGGAGAACATGAAACTATAGAGTGAACGTCCTCTTGTATTGGTTAATCTGGCTCCCCATGTTGGGTGTTTGGCGTTAAAATCAGCTCCGATAATATAAGTGTGATTAAGTGTGAGTAAAAATGTTGATAGTTCATTTTCAGGAAACTGACACCCTGGTGGGAGATAAGCAGAAGCGAAAGTAATTGGTATCAAATTTATAATTATATANAAAGTAATTGGAATCGAGTTTATAATTATAGAGGAGGCAATGATTTGTAGTTTGTTAGAGGTGAATGGTAGAAAAGGAGAATGAGATATTTTGTTGGAGATGAGTAGAGCGGCTCCTCCGTGGGCAGTACCGTCAGGGTGATCAGCTCTGAGCACTTCATACCCAAAGATTTTGAGAGAAGACGTTTTAGTAAGATGAGTTTCCGATATCATTACAATATCTACTTTTTCTTCTGATAGAGTTAATTGTAGTTCGTTGATGTTATTTAGTATTCCATTGGCATTCCACAAGAGGATTGTGAGTAGGTGTGATTGTTGATTAACGGCCATTTTTAAGAAGTTGCTCGATGACAGTCGTGAGGAGTGAGATAAGTGGATTAATTAGCGTTTTTAGATCGGTAATAAAAGAAGATAAATGATTTGAAAAAATTTTCTCTGACGGCTGGTCTGATTTTGTCCACTTAGTTGGATTTTTTGCTGTGGTAGATTGAGTAGTTTTAGAGTGAGAAAGGGGTGGAAAATTTTGAGTGGTTAAGATTTTTTCTGAGTGAGTTTCATTTGAGTTTACGTTAAGTAAATAATTGATTTTAATGNTTACGTTAAGTAAATAATTGGTTTTAATGTTTGAGTTGAGATGTGATTTTCTTTGCTTTAGTAATTCTTTATGAGACTGACAGCCCCTATAGTTTGCAGGATGGGAGCCTCCGCATAGGGCGCATTTGGCCGGTTCATTTCGGTTTTTTGTGCAAATACAGGACTTGTGATCTTCACCACAGCGAACACATCTAGGGTTGTGATTACAGTAACTACGGGTGTGGCCATAGGACTGGCNAGAGGACTCGTGATCTTCACCACAGCGAACACATCTAGGGTTGTGATTACAGTAACTACGGGTGTGGCCATAGGACTGGCAACGTTGGCATTGGGGTATTTCTTTTTTGGTGTGGGGGACTTCAATTTTTATTTTGGAATAGCAGAGGGAAGTGAGTTTGAATATTTCTTGATTCAGTTCAGCTTGCTCAAGGTCAACAAAGAAGAGGGGCAGCGGCGTTTTAGAAGATCTGTGGAGGACATTCGTTATGTTTTTGACTTGGTACCCTAGATTAGTTAATTCGTCAGAGATAAAATCTTTATCAGTAGAAGGGTGAAGGTTGCGGATGACAATTCTGAACGGTTTGTTTTCTTTTGACTGGTAGGAATGGAAGGAGATGTTTTCACTTTTGAAAAATTTAATGACTGATCTGTATGAATCAGGGCTAAATGTTTGTAATTTAACACCTTTGGTAGAGCTTTTACAGGAAAAACTTGGTGGAGGAAGACTTTTTTTGTTAGTGATATTTTCTACATTTTGTTCATTGGAGCTGTCCATGGGAACGTTTTCAGTAGCAGAAGAGATTGGTGTGTATCTGTTTTGAGAGATGAATATACTCGTATCAGATTTTTTTGGTTGGGGTGAGACGTTATTAGGCGATCTGATGCGTTTATTTTTATCGACTGTTTGCCAGTCATTTTCGCTATCCGAGAATTCAAAGAGCGATTTATCGGTAGACTGGGAAAATCTTGATTTAGATAAGACTAACGGTGAAATAGTTTTTTTTTTTGTAGTATTCATAGTTGAATTATTTGTTTAAGTTGTTGGGATAATTATAGTAGATAAGATGTTCGAGTAATTGACCTTGAACCGTCGGCGGCCGTACCGACGGCGGCGGCCGTTTGTTNGCCGTACCGACGGTGGCGGCCGTTTAATTTGTAGTAAGTTGTGAAACTGGTTTATTTTAGTGAGCGGTGTGTTGTGATAGGAAATAATTTCATAATACCTGATTTTGTNAATAATTGCATAATACCTGATTTCTGTAGTGTAGACTCGTCTGTACGCTATCGATAGCTATAAATGCGGTTCGCTCGGAAGTAACAAACGTGTTGCTCAGTTGGGAGTCGAACACGAACTGAACTTAGTAGGATTTATAAAACATTTTCTCAGTTGTTGCTTGGAAATATTTGTCGATAATTTTTGACTACCTATGATTAAAATTTAAAAAATTAACACACACAAAAAAAAAATAATAAACACATCAAAGTAAAACCAATACCTTCTCAGCTTCGTATCGAAGCTAAAAATTAATTTATTTTTAGTAATTCGCCAAAACTATTATTATACTTTATTCTTTTACATGTATGCAANTGTCCATGGTTGCTTCCGTTTGAGGAACGCGTCCGTTTAACGAACGTATACGTTCGACGAAGGGACGATTCAAAAATAGACCCCCGAGTAATATATAAAGATGTTGTCGGCAAATATAGAGGCAGGTAATTCAGACCGGTTGACCAACTACCAGAAGGCAGTGACAGAAGGGATCGGTGCTACCTGTTGGGATGAGAGGGTATGAGGGTTACCTGTAGTCTCAACGTCTGTCAATGTCAAGAACTAAGTAAAGGAAGAAGGCGAAGCAGTTATTCGTTTCTATATTCCATAATTTTAGCTTCGATGCGAAGCTGAGAAGGTATTGGTTTTAGTAAGATGTGTTATTTAAATTAATTTTTTCAACTTGACTTTTGAAGTCTTCTGTAAATGTACTTAAATGAAAAAAAACGGTCAATGGCTCTGACGACGTCTAGTATTTCACTAAATAGATTCTAATTAGGAATTTTTGAGGACCAGAAGAAAAAATCAAATAACAGTCATTATATTGACTGTTTTCCATTTGATTTAATGTTGACGGGTTGGCGTCGGTGGAATACCGTCGTCCACCACGAGAGCCTCCTCGTCTCCCAGGAATGGGTCTCTTAGGCCCAAGCCAAATTCTTTTCGCCTCTTTCCACGTTCCTGTTTTCCGGGTCTAAGCTATTTCATGATGAATAGCCTCGGCCTACCTCCCTCTTCCAATTATCTTCCACGGGGTAGAAGCCGTCTCATTCAAGGCGACTCGAGTAACTATGACATACTCGGATCGTTGGGAAGTCTTTCTGTAAATGTACTTAAATGAAAAAAAAACACCATTTGTCCCTGGGTCAGCTTTTTGGTATTATCCTAAATCCGTTAAGTAAATCAAACATCAATTTTCGATGGGCCTATTTTTTACCCTCCAGAGACCAGAATTGAATTATCGACCCCTAGTTACTAGAATTATAAACCAATACGCCTACTCTAAGGTACTCCCTATCTACCCTACTCAACGATTACACATATTTCTATCCACCCGAATAATTTTATTTTTTATTTTTACATTTTAAACAATTTAAAACTTACCCTAACGTTAACACTTCTTTAACTTTTAAATATTTTTGTACTAATAAATGACCTTTAAACAGCTGTTTTTTAAATTATAAATATGCCTAGTGATTAATAGTGAAAATAAATATTTACTTTGCATAGTTTCGCCATAATTATTTAAACGCGTATAACTCACGACGCATATTGTAAAGTTTATTTCGTAATTTCCTCATTAACTAACTCACAAATAATTATTTTTTAGTATTACTTATTTANCAAATAATTGTTTTTTAGTATTACTTATTAATTTCTGTAAATTGCTATTCGACATTTTGAGGCCAATTTCGGTATGGACAATTTAAAGGTAATATGACAAGACAAAATAATGAGTAGATTTGAGTAATATTATAAACATACAAATTTAAGCACACATTAGCATTACGTCTTTAGTGTTTCGATTATTAATGAAATATAATTAAAACACAGATGTTATGCTGACGAAATATGTTAGATTATTTATTTTATATACACTTAATGTATTTACATGGGGTTTGCCTGGTTTGAGGGTAAGAACGTATGTTTCGGCGTACGGGGTATCGGGTTCGATCCCCAGGGTGCGATCGAGAGTTAACTACAGTATTGCCACATTCCTATATATTATATAAAGGAAATTTTAAATNCCTATATATTATATAAAGAAAATTTTAAGTATTTCATTTTAATATGTTCGAGAATCTTCGTGCGTATATGCATTTTGTGTTGTACACCCATCACGAAAATTCTAGATCATTTCAGAATAACTACTCTCGAGTTATTCACATTAATTTTACATTTGTGTAGCTAAAAATCATTAAATCACCCAAGTTACCCGTGCCAAAAAATAGACTGAGCAATTCATCCAACAAAACGAACTCTATGTCCATTGGCGTTAAAAAAACCAAAGCGTTGACTAAAGTCAACAAAATTAAATTAAAGGGACAAAAAACAGGTAAATATTTTTTTAAATGATTTTCTAATAAATGCTTATACGTAAAATTTCATCAGCTACTGAAACTCGGACAAATTTAAACAAAAAATCTACTGAAACTCATAAAATAATCATAAACACAAAAACGACGTCTACTGATAATGCACCGAACAATTATATCAACACAGTCATTAAAGAATTCAAGCTAAAATATGAAGAAATAAAATAACGGCGTCATCACCCTAGACAATTTTATAACAACGATGAAATTGTATTGTCTGTATTAGCAGACGCTTTTAGTGAAAAACTTCAATGGACACGAACCATTCGTAAAACTGACTCTTCCGGGGCAACTAAAGAACAATCTAAAAAAAACTCTGTCTTGGGTAATGATAAAAATAACGAGTCTTTGCCTAAAAGTCAGTTCGAGGCTTTAAAAGAACAAACCGATATGAACTTACTCTTCCATAAATCCTATCCATTCGTCCCTAAGTCGAAAGTTAAAAACATTACAAATTCGGTTACTTCAAAGTCTTCTTCGCGTTATGATACAGCGAAAGTCAATCTTCCATCGAATAAAGTGAAATTCGTGTCTGCGATCCCTGTTAAAATGTCAGGTAGTAAAGTTTTTAATGGTCAGTCAGGACATAGAGGTCATTTAGCGACTGGCGTTCACAATATGGATACCTCTATGGTATCATCAAAACAAAACAACACAAGCAAGAAATTTTTGTCTAAGATACCAACAAGGAACAATGTTTCAAAAGATAATAATATTAGTAATAATTCAATTATTTTTATGATGTTATTCACGAATAAATGATATTAAATATTACTTGATTTTTTAGGGAATAGTTCACTTAAGATTTTGGATTTATCTTTGAACACTGGCAATACATTCAATAGGCATGCAGTTCAATGTCAAAGATTAAACAACTGTACTTGTTCATATTCCACTGTCAAACATCACAATGCCGAACCCCATAGCAAAAATTGTATTAAAAGGACCATTAAAATAACCACACATTATTAAAATTAATGACATAGAAGGATAACTTTAACAATTACTGTTGTTATATCATGGAACTACTGCTTAAAATTCTTAATTAAACTTGTCTCTGTATGAAAAAAAAAATGATACAATATTAAACACTAGTCATAAAGATTTTATTTTATTGTTAGTCAAAAACATCACACTAAGATTTATGTACATTAGTTGATATGTTGACAATTTTGTGTTTGTATATGGCCATAGTAGATGATCATAATGTAGTTAAGATTTAATAAATATTTATTTATACATATTTTTGTGTAATTATTAATCGATTATTAGACCATCCATGTATTACATAACTAATAATTAAAATAGTGACATGGAAAAGATATTTAGCCCAAAAAAAAAATTTAATTTTTTGTTTTTTTTTTATGAACAACATTATCATATCCTTACAGTCTCTGACCAAAATAAATCTATTTTAGTAAAAATAGTTGAAAATAATATGACGATTATAATAAGTTCGCGCAATTTAGATAGATGGTTTTTCATTTTACTATAAAATTTTGATTTTATAACATAGTACTTTTTCCATAATAGTGTCTAAAGTATTCTTTATTTAATTATTTGGATATATTTCAATGTAATAACAGAAGCTGTAAGAACAGTTATAGAAATCAATGTTAAAGGAAAATGAGGTAGAAGAAGACTAAAAATAGATGGGGAGATGTTACTGAATGCGATATGAGGACGGCTTATGTGTGTTATACTATAATAGAATTTTAATGAGATTGAAAAATAAGTTCTTTAAAACTGTTGTGAGATCAGCTACAGTGTATGGTTTAGAGTATTAGCGATTGACAAGAGAATAGAGTAGAGAATGGGTGTAACAGAGATGAGAATGCTTTGATGGATGAAGGGTGTGGTTAGAGAAGATAGGATAAGAAACGAACATATAAGAGAAAGTATATGTGTAGTGTCAATCGTGAATAAGATGAGAGAAAATAGAATTAGATGGTTATTGAATGCGATATGAAGATGGCTGATGTGTGCGTAGACGATGTGGGAGATTGTGTCAAGCGTTAAATAAGGCTCACCCCAAATAGTTGGAATTAAAGCGAGAAAAAGAAGAATCATGTATTTAAATATAATATACACATGACCTGTAGTAGTTGAATACATTCAACTTTTATTCAATGATTTTACTTACAGGTAAGACTAAGTTAGGATTCCTACATTTAAAAATTACTACGAATACAAATTATAATTAAGAATAAGATTTGTATTACTGTGTAATTAAGTTAATTGAAACTGCATTATTGTCAAATTATTTTACACCAATAGAAATATTTTAATACTTACATATATTTTACATTTTTCTGTTAAAATTAATAACTACAAACATGAATGTAAAATAATGAACGGCTAACATTCACTAAATGATTAATTACCTAATATATTAAACTCCAATATCTTTTTAAATTTATACAACTAATTATTTTGTAGTAGTTCACTAAACTGTTATACAATACATTTAAATTTAAACCTTTAAAATTGTCCCTTGAACAATATTATAAGTAAATTGTCTTAAACAGTGGTAAAAACATACAAAATTTTGATTTTAGAAAATTACAGAGTTATATTTTTTGTAATTAAAACTATTAAATAACCCAAAAATACTCAATTTTATGATTATAAAACATATCTTAAATTTTTGTTAGACAATTCAATGATACAATTTAACTCAACAAAACATCTTTTTATTAAATTTCATATGAAAATTGAGTACCAAAAATTAAATTTTAATAATAATATTATACTTATACTACATATTATGTGTTTTTTTATATTATTACTTCACCATATTTCCATAAATAAGTTATTATAAGTAAAGGCTATTCAAAACTGATAATATACAATCTTTAAAATTTAAAATACATTTAAAAAATATCTTTTAATAAATAATGAACTGAAAATATTCTTATCAAAGATATTCAAAGAGTTTTTTTATAAATATATATATATATATAATTGTGTCTTTTGTACTGATAAATATACTTATATAATTCAGTAACAAAACAGCTCTATTAGCTCCAATTATATAAGAAATAATGAATTGGCAGTTATTTTAATTGAAAATCAGTACACATAATAAAAAACTCATAATAGTGCATTTTTTGCAACATTAAAAAATAATCTTGCGTGGCTGATACATTAGATGGAGTAAACTTCACATATAAAAACATGTTCTTAGTAAATTCTTAGGAAAACCTAAAAAATAAATAAAATAATTTGTAATTGCTTTTATAATTTGATAAATAAGTTAAAATAAATTTGTTGTGAACATGTATTGATGCATCGAGTTTATATGCAACACATTTTACTAATCATATAACTAATTATTAATCCTATTATTTAAATTTTACTACAGAGAAGTATGGCATTAACATGAAAAACCTTTTATGTATCAAAAAGTAATTTCAATTAAGATATATTGTAATGCGGGCCCGCGTGGAGAAGATGGATTTTTTAGTAAACAGTCGAATTGAAGTAGAATCGAACAGAGTTTATTTATTAATGATCAATTTAATCGTAATCGATTAAAATAAAATAAAATAACATTGAATATTATAATATATAATATACGAAATAGAATACAGCTTTAGTATATAGACTTAGAATTCAAGTTAGAATTAACCATATAGATTTTGAATATTATATGTAACGTCACTTTCACATATCGAACCACGACTGACTCTCTGGGATCTACAGAGGGAGTCCTTTGTCCATGGTTGCCCCAAATCATTTGGTCAGCACATTCCTGTGTTTGACGACAGTCGGACGACCATATACTCTATACTTTATAATATTATACAGTATTATTCAGGGGTTTTTAACACCCCCCCCCCCACCTAAATGAGCAATGGAGGTCTAATGATTTCTATTGACTCAAGGGAAGTCGGATAAATAAAGTTATATAATTTCAAAGGGAATTCTTTAAACCTATATTTGAAATTGAAGTTAAAGCAATGTCTTTAAGATAATAAAAGAAAAACTATTCGAAAATGTTTATCGTTGTTGTTTAACAATGTTAATGAATAATAATAGTCAATTTAATTAAATAAAACCTGAAAAATCTGACTTCATAATTTGTATCAGTTAACTATGTTTCAGAAAAGTAATAGTATTTATAAATAAAACTAGCAGTCGCTCCTATTAATCGTTTTGATTAGCAACTATTTATTGCTTTTGAGAAATAACAATACTGAAATCACTACTACTATTCCTTAACACCATTAAAATAAATTGCTGCGCTCCTTACTGTTTTATTCTGTACTGTGTCTACTGTCATGTCCATTATAATATTGAATGTAAATCCATTCGCACTAAGCTACTTTATTAATACACGTTTGTGAATCTGAGCTGGCGGCACTGACTCAAAAATTATAAATTGTAAATTATTATCCTAATACATTAACTTTATTCCAATTCTAATATGACTTATTTTATTCTTTATGGTGAAATTTTAAATTAGCAAGTTTTTGTAGAGTGAAAGAATACAGTCGTGGAATAATGTTAAATGATAAATATAGTCACACATTAATTAATACGCTAGAGCAATAAAATGAATATATACGACAAATTGATAAAAAATTCATAGATTATTATCAATTAGAATCTAATTGAAATAACAATACTGAAATCACTACTACTATTCCTTAACACCATTAAAATAAATTGCTGCGCTCCTTACTGTTTTATTCTGTACTGTGTCTGCTGTCATGTCCATTATAATATTGAATGTAAATCCATTTGCTTTAAGCTACTTTATTAATACACGTTTGTGAATCTGAGCTGGCGGCACTGACTCAAAAATTATAAATTGTAAATTATTATCCTAATACATTCTTATCTAATTATTAGATGGACATCTATTTGTGAAAATGAATACTGAAGTCAATCGAGTCAAAAAGTAAGAGCGATAATTTCAAATAACCGGTCAAGCGAAGTATCATATAGATATAATACAGTTAATACACTGTATGAGAGAACGCAACTTGGCGAACAAATAGTAAGATAGAACGATCCTGTCTCATTCAATAGCCTCTCAGTTGCGTGGCCTGCAGCAAAGCAGTAATTTCATAAGCAAACTGGCAACGTTGCTTTGAGAAGTCAAAAGGAACAGAGCGTTAAAAACGTTAAAAACAACACGTTGCCAGTTTACTTATAAACTAATCTTTTATTTGAATTAGTCGCTCAAAACTCTTGTGACTCGATTGACTACAGTAATAATTTTCTCAAATATCTGTCCGTCGAATCGTTAACAATCAATGAATTTGTTGCTGTTTAATCCCTCTGGTGAAAACAGGCTGTTGAAATTTGTCTCTCAAATAACTAAAATTTGTATAAAAAGACCATCACGTTAGGTTATTTTGCTCTTAGTTATTTATCACCCATTAGTATTAGTATTGGGTCATTCGATGTGAATTCACCTAATGTGTGTGCTGGTATAGTTCTGAAATTTATAAAATTTATATCATAGACTCTTAAAGGTCATTGACAACAAAAATAATATATATATTTTTCTTTACCAGATAGCGCATTTTTTATAATTAAAAACATGAAAAACGGCCTATGTTCTAGAGCAGGCATGACCAACCTTTTTAAGTTTGCGGGCCATTTGTTATTTCAGCAAAACTTAGACGGGCCGCATATCTATGAAAATTCACATTTTGAAAAATTTTTAATAATCTAATTTAAATCTACCCATATTATAAACATTATTAAATGTGTTATCTATCTAAAATCTATCTTTATTGTAAACATTATCAAAAACCTACTTAGATTGTAAACATTACCAAATATGGTCATAAACGAGCGGGATTAAAGGTGATAGAAAACATTGATACTATAAATAAATATAAACACAAACAATTGCCTACTATTAATTGATGCGTCCTTTGCACACTTGAGTCAGTTAGTTTCCTGCTTATGATGTTAAAGCGACTATATTCCAGTGAAAGTGATATTTAAGTGCATTGAATTATTGGTAATAAAAATTTTTTCATTATAAATAAAAATTGATCATTATTAACGAATATTTATTTTTTAAAAATAATTTTTTTTAGCTCTGTGATAAATACCCTAATAAAAATGTCTGAAACAAAAAAAAAAATACGTAAAATTTCCGAAGAAAATCGTCATTTTCAGGACATTTGGATGTATAAATACTTTTTCATTCAATTCAAC